AACTCATCAGTATTTCCCAGAATGATTTTGAAATGTAGGTACTTATAAAGTGAACTGAAAATATTTGCTTGGAAGAGCAAATGAATACAGACAGCACTTAGGAGCTTAAATGATGAAAAGAATTCATGTGGCTTAAAAATGACAAATCGATCCATTTTAAAGCAAAATTATTTACAGTTCACTTATTTGCCAAGAGTGAAGGCTACTGCAGCGATTTACATGGACAACAGGAAAAACTCCAAGTGCTGATGAGGTATTAAGCCAATGTCATTAAAGGTTGTATGAAAATCAGACACTCAAATCCAAGCCAATGCAGAGAATAGTCCTTTTCGTTTGTTTCTTTTATCATTTATGGGTCTAAGTCAAACAATTTCTTCCAAAAAGTTGGGTGAGAGGAGTTAATAGAGAAGAAAAGGCAGGAACTGACTGGATATGAAAATGGATTCTGGTTCACTCTGCATGTTTTAAAGGAATGTAATGCAATGGCAAAGTTCATCTTCCAGGGCCCCAAAAGGCGGAGAATGGGAGTTGCCATGGGAAGTGAGAGGTAAGGAGACTAACTTAAGTGATCCTATTCCTTCACCCATCTTCTACTCTCACTGCTTCTTCTTGCAGGCTGTAGAAGCTTTGATGGGATCAATCATCATGCTGGCTGTCGTACAAGTGGCATCAGGGAAAAGGAAGACAGATGCCACACAACTGGGTGAGTCTGAGAAAGAGGCAGGGTACATAAAACTGAATGATCTAGGCCAGGGTCACTCAGTGTGCACATTATCTAAGAGGAGTCTCTCCTCACATCTCTTAATGGCTTGTCTTCAGTAATTTCCTTTAGCATCTCTTGCAGGAGAAAGGCACAGAAAGGATAGTGGGGAAAAAAGACTATCACTATGGCTACGCTTCAGGCAGCTTGCTCTGTCTGCTGTAAAGAGACTGCCTCTTCAGCGTGGATTGGCACTGGATGCTTTGCCCACCATCCAGGGTCCTCTCTATATAAAAGTTTTGTAGATTTTTTTTTTTTTTTTTTTTTTGTGCCTCAGCCTCCCGTGTAGCTGGGGTTACAGGTGTGCACCACCATACCCGGCTAATTTTTTTTTTTTTTTTTTTTTAGTAAACAGGAAAATCTTGTCTCTTTAGTGAATATGACACATTTTCTTGCAACTGACAATAATAGCTAAGTAAAGAATGTGGTTTCCTATGTTGCCTAGGCTGCTGGGAAACTCCAAAGTACTCCACAGCTCAATCACAGCACTTATTCAATTGTGGGTGTTGGCACTGTATGGTGACTTACAGGTTATTATAATTAAGAGCAGAATGATTACATTACATGTGTACTTGGTTCCATGTTATATTTCTGCTTTATTAATGCTCATCACACTTTAATCTGCATGAGCTGAGGAACTTTGTAGATCTGACTGTTGATGTGGTTATTGTTCTCCTTCCCCATTTCCATGAGGGCAGGGATGCTTTCTGATTAATTCTTACCGAATATTGGTACTGGGCCTGGCACACAGAAAACAATAAATACTTATTGATGAAATGACTGCATAAACATTTTGGAAATTTGTGACAATGAATCTTTTTTTTGCAAGTAGCAATCAATAAATGGTTTGTTGGCAAACTGCAAGAAGAGAGGTGCCATGGTCTTATTTATTATATCCAGTGCCTCACACCACACCTGACATTTAATGGGTTCTAAATACTAGTTTGCTGAACAATGGATGAATGAATGGATGAAAGATGAATGTGTAGGTGGAGGAATAGAGGGATAAATGGAAGATGATAGCTAGGTGCAGTGGCGCATGCCTGTAATCCCAGCACGTTGGAAGGCCAAGACAGGAGGAGCACTTGAGATTAGCCTTGGCAAGATGGTAAGACCCCTGACTCTACAAAAAAATATATAAAAGTTAGCCAGGCATGGTGGTGCCTACCTATAATCCCAGCTACTTGGAAGGCTAAGGCGAGAGACTGCTTGAGCCAGGAGTTTGAGGCTGTAGTTAGATATGACTGTGCCACTGCACTCCAGCCTAGATGACAAAGTGTGACCCCATCTCAAAAAAGAGGGGGGCAGCTGAAGGGAGAATAGTTGGGAAATGAATTCATAGGAAAGCAGGTGGATACTGACTTAAAATTTAGGGTTTGGTGTGATATTTAGAGTTTTAAATTCTCACACACAAGATCCTTGCAGGTGATTTAGACTGAGTCTCAGTTAAATGAGTTTTCAGTCAGGATGATTAAGTTGGGCTACAGAATCAGCTTCCCAGAGAGGTCTAAAACCTGACAGAAAATATGTCTTATTTTTGTCTCTGCTATTTGGCAGAAAAATCCCTGATATTATTAAAGTCCAGGTATTAAATTAATAAAATTTTATTAAGATACTGCCATTGTCCCCAGTGAGTATATAAACCACAATTTCAACATTTAAACTAAATCTTGCAGGTGAAATTGCTTATTAAGAGTAAGCTACAGGGACTATCCAGGAGAAGAAACAAGATAAAAAAAGATAAGTCCTTCCGTTCTAATAAAAACCCAACTACTTAATTATTGAAAACCTTTTTTTTTTTTTTTTTTTAAAAAAAGGGGGGGGCGGAGGATGAGGGCAAAAAGAAGCTGCCAGTCACATTAGCAAGCCAACATTGTCAGGAGCCTCTAATAAAATAAACAAAACAACAATACAATTGTCCTGGGTTAAGACCACTGTGCACATATGCAGAGAGCTATTGCCAAATCTAAATGAGTCACAGCAAGGCACAATCAGTGTGCTTTTAATTATGCATCCTGCCTAATTTACCTTATCTGTCATTACCTGAATGGCTTTCCAGTACCAGGACATCCAGCTTCCCCCTGAATTCCCTCTTGACCCCACCAGAAAAATCCCACAATCATCTGTCTCCCTGGCAGGACATCATCAACATTCAAACTGGGAAAGGGAAACTGCTTTCAACCCACCTGTACAGAACTCTCACTGATCACAGATGTTAGCAGCGCTTTATATCCAACAACAGACCTTGGCCGACAGCTCTCAAATTTTGTACAGCAGCTGCCAGTGTGTGCCAGCAATGCTGTGAAAACCCTCATCCCTATCCTCGCACAGAAATCAGGTAAGGACAAGCCCCAAGCTGGGGGCTTATTCTTTCCTAACCCAGCAACACATCACTCTCTTAGCCTGTGGTAATTAAGAGCCAGCAGACTATGGGCAAAGCAGTTGAGAGCTTCTTTCTTAGGAATACAGCCCGAGTAATTGGCTTGCTGCTTGCTAATGACATGGCTTCTGCAAAAATTAACTGTCATAGGGAATTCTCTTAACTGACTTGGCGAATGCAGGTTCAATAACTGTTTGATAGGCTTTGAGTTCACCAGGTAATTCCAAAACACTTGGGGGAAGAAGAAACGCAAATGAATTACACAAATCCTTTTGCACACTAAATTTAAATGGAATGCAAAATGGAAAAGAACACCTTGCTACACCTGATGTCATGCTACCTGTGCAAAACTGTTTCCCTCAGCACACTCCTGGTTAAGACTCCACACCATGTGAAGTGTGTAAAATAAGCCCATGTATCAACATAGCATGGCTGGGGTGGGGAAGAAAAAAGGATGGTTCATGCTAACTCAAGCTTATGAGACATATCTTCTGGATTTCCTTCCATTTTTCTGAAGGTGGATGGGTTACTGGCTATGACCCAGGGATGGAGAGACACACATGCGCACATGCACACACTTTGGCATCTCTGTGGTTCCAGTGTGGGCACCAACGAGCACTTTTCTGCCTGGACATTAACACAAACTGACAAGGAAACCAGCCCTGAAGTCAATGTTCCAATCACCGCGGCACTATGCCATCGGAATCACATCAATTATTGCTGCTTTTTCTTCTTTGGAGAACTTAGGAGTAAGGTTTAAAAATGCAGGAAGCTCCCTCTCTCATCTCCTTAATAAACTTCTGCCTCGTGCTGCCAGGCTTGGAGACAGGTGGAAAGAATTCAGCTGCAGCGCCATAAGCTGCAAAGTTTTAAAGGTTCTCCCTCCCTGGATGGCAGGAGGCTATAAATTTTCCTACCCCCAAATCTTCTAAACCACCTGGAAACATCCCTCTTTATCCTAATAGTAATGAATTGGGAAGCCCCTTCCACCCAGATCAATTTCACAGGCATTGGAGTTCCAGATTTTGAGTTAAGCAGCATTTAATTTGTCATTAGTGCCCCTGGAGCAGAAACCCATACCACCAAGCAGAACACAATAGCCTCTAAGCTATTAGCTAACGTGTCAACTAGGTAATGCATCTTCAGGAAAACCAGATTAGAAAGGACAGCAAAACATTGATTTTTCTTTTCTTTTCTTTTTTTTTTTTTTTTTAAAGAATCCTATACCTGCAGCATAATGCTGCCAAAGCTGGCAAAACAACAAAGGACATTCCACAGCAAGGAAATGTCTTATTCTCAGTGCTGGGGCAGTGAACATTGTTCCATCTGAGCATGGTCATATATATGGGGCAGAGCAATTCTTCCTTAAACCTACAGGCTTTTTATTTTGTAAATAATTCATCCTCCAGTGCCTAAGAAAGCTGAGGGAGAGAATGGGTAGACATGTGAACAGCTGGGAACACCAGTTGAGAGCAATGCTACTCACGGAGCAGGTGGAGCTTTCTCTTTTTCTCTCCTTCCAAATGAAACAATAGCATTTGTATCAAGTTAAAACGGCTAAGAAACTCATCCCTTTGAAGGAAAGTGTGGATGTATTTGTATAGAGAAGATTCCAAACATCCATTCTTTATCCTGGCTCCTGCAGCCTGCCCACAAATCACTATACAGTTAAAGACAAGCCCAAATACCTTCTATAACAAACAGATTCCCAGAACTTAAGAAAATGAGCCCCGGCTCCTGTCACCATCCACTCTAAAACACATTTAGTGAAGTGAAGCCACACAGCGTACCCCTCCTACCTCCAGCCCCCCACCACCCACCCCAGCCCCAACAAGCACCAAGTAACTGACAAGTCCTTACCGACTTTGGGCTCTTCTTGGGAACTGGCAGTCCTGGAAAAAATGCAACAAGGAGGGGAGGGGGGAAGAAATCATTAGCATACAAATATTACCTTTTCCTTAAAGAACAATCCCCAGGTGTTCCATGGCAACCTAGCCATCTGCAGAGTTATGTCAGATTTCTCCCCAGCATCGGAGTTACCAGGCTGTTCATATCGAATCAAAGCAGAGGGAGGAGGAGAGCGAGAGGCAGGAGATCTATCTGCATTAGCTATGCTGACTTGTACTGCAGCAGCCTGGAGGCTGGGAAAAGAAATTCACAGACCTCAGCGGCCTGGGAAATTGAACACTTGGACAGAATCTCAAATGCTCTTCTGGATTAAGAGAGACTTAACTTACAATTAAGTCCGGGATATTTCCTTTCCACACGATCCACTTGTCAATTGAAACGGACCAATCAGGACAGAGGAAAGGGTATATATTTAGTTTCAAAGGAGTACATGGTTAAAATTAAAAATTTTTTTTGGTCTTTTCTTTTTTTTCCCTCTGCCTTACAGGAGAGGAAATGCTTTCTTTATTTGGATGAGCTCAATACCAAAACAAAGACGGATGCTCTTTTGCCAACACAGAATGCTAACAAATGAACACAAATCCAAGTTGGTCTAGGGTCCTCTCTGGATCATCAGCACATGTCTGTCTCGATGTCTGCCAGCCATCCAAGCAACCTCCTACTCACAGCTTGCTGGAAAGGACTGGGAGCTGGACTAGCCCCTCAAAAAAAAAAGCATGTCGAAAAAGAAAAAATGCACAAAGCTGAAAGAAAAAGATAGTAACGGAGAAAGAAAGGTAAAAGTGGTCATTGAATCTAGCTGGCTCTTCCAAAACCCTGTCCTTAGTGGGAAGGCTGGAGCTGGAAGGGACAAGTGATCTCCTCAATTCTAGGGAAGTCAGCAATTAGGGGCAGACTTATGGGAAATCTACCACCAGGGAAGGGTGCGAAAGACAGGCGAGAAAGGAAAATAAAGTATATACTGGTGTTCCAAAAGTAATCATTTTGGCAAGCTGCTGCCTTTTTTAATTTTTTTCTTTGGCAGGAGTTAGAATGCAAAATGCAGATTCTACCTGTATAAAGCACACAAGATATGCTTGGGATCCGGTGATGCTGTACTGGAGATTTCAACCTGTTTTTGAAAGTGATTCCTAGGGAGTATGATAATTTCAACTCTTTTGGAAGTGACTTGTCAAACCATGAGCCATGCTAAGGTCGGCGCAAGCAGTATGAGGCAAGGTGAGGCAAGTGGGTGAGTGAAGAGAAAGCAGCCCAGATAAGCCTGCTAATTTACCCACTCAAAGTGAAGCATGATGAAGATTACTCTTCCTGGGAGGCATGGGGGCACTCTCTGGTAAGGTTCCTCTCATCACCAAAATGAGGTCACCATGGAAGTGAGGCTCCCAGACCTCAGAGGGCATAAAGCACAGTTGGTAACTTGTCAGAAATGCAGCAGCCCAGGTCCCACCCTTGGGGGCCAAGAAATCTGTAGTATTAACAAAAATTCCAGGAGATTCTGATACAGAGAATCCAAGGACCGTATTTAAGAACACTCTGATATAGTAGAGTATTACTCTTTCAAGTCAGGCAAATTCAGATAAGCATCCATTAGCAAGGTGCTTTGGGGCCCTCTCTGTCTCAGTTTCTCCATTTATGAAGTGAAAAAGAGTAAGACTCACTTCACAACATTATTAAAATAATGAAACAAGAGAAAATGTACAAGAGCCTCCTACCTGGCACAGAAGAGTTACTCAAATGTCTACACCTTTCACCTTCATTGGCCTAATTTACATCATTCAGAAAGGAAATGGTTATGGTTATCTTGCTCTAGTAACTAGAGAAAAATCATCTGCTAAGCATATTAAAATATAAAAAAGGTTGTAGGAGAAATATTTTACCTATGGATACAAGTAACTGTGCTGAACAATTTTGATACGTCTTTACTTTTTAAAATAACGATCAGGTGTTTTTCTTGGCTCATTAATATGACTCCCTTAAGAAATTTTATTGGGTTATATTAGTGTGGGTCACTGTATAAACTTCAAAATTATATAAGATGACATCTTTAAATTCATATTTTCTCCTAATTCAGAGAGACCTTCTTAGTTAATTGGAATCAGCAAGGTTTCACTATAATTATCTTTTACTACCCTTGACTCTACCTAGGATCCCAGTGACCTCCATGAAAATTTGGAAAGAATCCCTGACTAGGTAAGCAGAGTCAGGGAAAATGGTTTCAATCTACACTCTGCTAATCATTTGTAAGATTCTGGCCGATCTTCAAATCCCTTCAAGAGCTTTGTATATAAAATAAGGGGCGTTTTTCATTCTCTCTTGATGCACATTCAAAGGTGCATTCACAACAATGTTCAGTGAAGCATTGTTGGTAGAAAGGAAAACTGGAAGCAACTGGAAGTTCTAAAAACCTGTGGGGTAGTCAACCTATAAAGCTAGGTTAAAAGCAATGAGCTATCTCTACAGGTAACAACAGAGACAGTCTTTAAAACACAATGTTCAGTACAATGGCACGCTGCAGAATGGCAGGCACAGCAGGAGACGGGTGTTCCACACACTCAAACACATGCATAGCTTTTCCCTTTCATGAACGTCCATGTCAAATGGATAACGGGGATATGTCCAATAGGGTAAGGAGGGGCAAGGATCAGAGGGACTCATTGAAGGAGACTTTAGCCTTATTTAGAATTTTTTTTTAAGAACAGCATTTTCACTTATCACTGAGGCAATAAAATATTAATTAATGACCCCTTCACTGTTAACTGCACAAAACCAACCAGTCGAAAGGATATGGGGGTAACCAATAGTATATGTTTCCTCTGAGGAAGCAGTCCATGGAATATTCCGGAAGATCCCAGTTCAACTGACACAACAAACTGTATATTATAACAAATAAAAAAATCTTTAATTTAAAGAGGCATTTATTCCTCTTTGCTGGCTAGTTGCTGAAAACCTTCATTTTAAAAAGCCACACCTTTTACAGGAGCCCCAAAGTGGATTATGACCACAAATTAATATTTAAATAGTCAAAATCAAGAGACTCCCCTTGATTGCTTTTTAAAAAAGAAAAACTCAAAGATTTGTTTTAGGCCCATATGGTCATTAAATCTTAAAATCTAATAAATATGAATGCTGGAAAAACCTTATTACAATTTATAATTTATTTTAGCCCAAACGATTCAGATGGATTGAAAAACAGCTGGGAGGCCTAACAGAAAAGACTCAAAAGGTCACTGCTTGACATGACAGAATGCTCTAAGACCTAGAAATCAAAGGAAAGCAGATAGCCTGTGTGTAACTGGTTAACTGCAGACATGTCCCTACCAGCCAGGCTATGGGAGGCAACATCATCCCACACTTCATGACATTCCAGTGGTTTTCCTCAGACAAGCAAACACTTTGTATGCCTTGTGGCAGCAGGAAGTTTGTGTTCTACAAATCATGTCACATATTACATATAAGGCATATGGGTAGAAATGGCACCTGTCTTAATGGGCTTGTCTGGTCCATTCAGGGTAAGGAAGGGGAGGTTTCAGAAGAAACAGAAGAAAGAATTTATGGATAGCAGCATCTGCTCTTAGGGCCTTAAAAGGCAGCAAATGTTACTTCTAAGGGATCCTGGAAAAGTTTCACATGGAAGCGTACGTTCAAAGTGCAATCTGCAAGAGCAAGAAAAACTTGGGACCTGAATATCTAAAGTACCCTATTAAAATGGTGTCCCTTTGGAGAAAACAAATGGCAAATTTTTGCTAGTGACTGGGACCTGACCAACTAATGTAAAAAGGAGAAATCTGTTTTCCTGTAAATATCAAGGCCATGAACTATAACTAAATGGCAGAATGTCACACTTGGTGAAATTTTATAATGCCTGTACAGAAATAATTTATATGAAAAAATTAAAGCTATAACAGAATAAACACCATTTGCAAAGAAAGGTTAGAAGGTTATGCGCGAAAACAGTATTTTCTTTGGCTCATGGGATTATACGTGGCTTTATCACCTATTTTTAGTATCTTTATACCAAGAAAAGCTTTATTGATTTATAAATACACACATACATATCCACAGATACCACAATAAACAAACTTCTCTACCAGTTTTTAAAGAAGACAAATGCAGCATGTTTCAGAACATTTTGTTGTGTTTTAAAATCTCTAGAGAATCACTGACCTCTATATCCTCCAAGAATTGCTTACTTTTCCCCAAAATGAATGCATACATATAGATTTTTTGTTTGTTTGTTTCTTTGTTTGTTTTTTTAAGATGGACTCTCACTGTATCACCAGGCTGGAGTGCAGTGGAGCAATCTCGCCTCACTACAACCTCCACCTCCCAGGTTCAAGCAATTCTCCTGCCTCAGTCTCCTGAGTAGCTGGGACTATAGGCGCATGCCACCATGCCTGGCTACTTTTTGTATTTTTAGTACAGACAGGGTTTCACCATGTTCAGGCTGGTCTTGAACTCCTGAATTGTGATCCACCCACCTTGGCCTCCCAAAGTGCAGGGATTACAGGTGTGAGCCACCGTACCCGGCCACATATAGTTTTATTAAAGAACCTTAGTAGATTAGGACTTGTGCTTGTCCTAGTGATTAAATGGAAATATGGAAGAAGTAGGAGAGCTCAGCTGGGCTGTCAGGGAAACCAAGCAGAAGCCAAGCATTGCCATTTCAGCACTGAGACAAACAAAACCTGAGTTGCTGGGGAAGAGAATGCACCTTTCTGGACTTAATTTCCTCCATGTTTAAAGGAAGTGGGAATGCCAACCAACTTCACTAACAAAAGGAATCAAGAAAAACTGCACAAAGCGTTTTGAAAGGGTGAATCCTAAAGTGTCTGTCACATACAAAGTGGATCTACAAATAAGAAAAATGTACTATTTATGTCATCAACTTATATTTTTTCATTGTGATATTCATTCCCCTCTGCATTTGGGTCTCCAGACTTCAGCATTTTTGTGGAAACATTTTGCTTTCCTCCTAAGCATTCCA